GTATCTTAGCCAGGTAACGGTGTTGGGAAAGAGGGTGCTGAATTTCTCTGTCTCCAGGTTTTCCATGAAGAGGTTGGCAAGCACAGCGCTGAGCGGGCTGCCCATTGCCATCCCAAAGCACTGTTTGTAACAGTTGTCCTGATACTTGAAGAAGTTGAAATTAACACAAAGTTCCACAAAGAATGTTGATTGCAGCGTCAGTAGGAACGTTGGTAAAGACGGCTGTGACATAACACAAGCCTTTACACGTCTTCAGTTCCCATCTTTCTTCATCCGAGATTGCAGACTCAAGGCACAAGCTATCCTCAACAACCCGCCCATGGAACAGCCCCCTAAGCAGTTCATAGTACTCCCATGTGGTGATGTTGCCACGAATACTCGCCGGGCACTTGCTATGAGTAACATCAACGTTTCCACCATAAACACATCATCTATCAAAGACCTCTCTACGAAACGCAGCCCCACACCTCTAGCTTCTACAGCAGGCGTCTACACTATCCCCTGTGGGTTCTGTCCCAAGAAATATGTAGGCGAAACAGGCAGAGATCTTGCAGCCCGCCTGAATGAGCATCAAAATTTGCCTCTAACAGAGACGATGTAAGGTACGCCTGTGTCCTCCACAGAGACTCCACGGGACATTTGATGAACTGGAATGAGGCACAACTCGTTCTCACCGAACCAGACCTCAGACGCCGACGGTGCCTAGAAGCCTCACTAATCGCCGTCACCGACACTATAGAACGCAACACTGGAAACTACAAAATTTCAAAAACATTGGCATACATGATACTTAAGCAGCACCAACCCAACAACACAGGAGTCACATGATTTCATCGTCTACCCGTCCTCATCACAACATGACATTCCTCAGGTCACGTATGTTAGAAGTGATCAAGGTCCCAGGACCGAAACGTTTTCTAATAAATATGTCATAGTGTTTGCTTACGTGTCTTTCTAAACCAACTTGTCGGTATTTATTACCAAGGTTTATACCATATAAAGTGTTGTTATCTTTAATGTTCGTAGGTCTCAAGTACTTGGATAACCGGGAAAACTTTTTTCTCCTTATCCAAGTACTTAGCGTACATCAATGTTACTCCTAGTGTTACCCCCCTCAAGGAAGGTTCCTTGATGTTGGTGAGGGGCTCTTGATTTAGGAATTGGATCTGTGCTCCAGTTCCCCGAATTAAGCCTGAATGCCTTCCACATATCCCCCCCCCCAGGCGCTGTATAATCCCCCGGGTTTAGCGCTTCCCCCTTGATTATAATAATAATAATCCTAGTTTTTCCCCCTCCCTCCCTCCCTCTCTCTCTCTCTCTCTCTTCTCTCTCTCTCTCTCTCTCTGTCTTTTTTTTACACAGGGTTTGACAAGGTTAGGTTAAGGATCTCTATCTGTCTGTCTGTCTGACATATATTGCACTAAAAGCTTTACTTTTATATGCTACTTTACACAAAGGAATGACTCTTGCTCTGTTCTAACTCCTGGATACCGTCTCCTCTTTGGTACACACACTGTACGTAGGTCATCAACCATTCCCAAACCTTCTTACAACCTGCTCTCAGTCTTGTCATATTCCTGGCCACACCTGCTGTCTTCTCGCTCTCAACCTTCTTATTACCTTACGTAAATCGCTTCTTACTTTCAACCTCCAGGTGGAGTAATTTAATCCAGGTACGGCAGCCTCGACGGTACAGTAATAGTGCACTCTTTCTCACCTTATTTGATAGTGAAGCACCGGGAATAAGGTTAGAAGCACCGGGAATAAGGTTAGAAGCACCAGGAGTAAATAAAGTTAGAAATAACTGAAATAAATAAGGTCACAAGCACTGGGAATTCCATTGTTGGAAGACAAGATAAACAAAGGAGACATGATAAGCAGAGACATGTTCATCACACTAGACATGATAATCACAGATATGGTCAACAGAATAGACATGATAATCACAGATATGGTCAACAGAGTAGACATGATAATCACAGATATGGTCAACAGAGTAGACATGATAATCACAGATATGGTCAACAGAGTAGAGATGATAATCACACATGTACATCAGTAAACACACAAACACACACAACAAACATGCATGAGTCATGATACTGAAGAAAACAGTCATGTGAGTGTAAGAGAAGGGGCCAGGAGCCAAGTCTCAACCCCCCCCCACACACGATTTTTCTTTCAGTATCCAGAAGTTACTGAACTAACGACAGCAGAAAGTTAGTGACTCTCACAACAAACCTTCTCTTGAGTAACTATAAACGGATATTAAAAATTCCCCCGAAATTATTATCACACAAACCCTGCCAGGATCTGGATGTGTACTTTACCCTGCCAGGATCTGGATGTGTACTTTACCCTGCCAGGATCTGGATGTGTACTTTACCCTGCCAGGATCTGGATGTGTACTTTACCCTGCCAGGATCTGGATGTGTACTTTACCCTGCCAGGATTGGATGTGTACTTTACCCTGCCAGGATCTGGATGGTGTACTTTACCCTGCCAGGATTGGATGTGTACTTTACCCTTTCCAGGTCTGGATGTGTATTTTACCCTGCCAGGATCTGGATGTGTACTTTACCCTGCCAGGATCTGGATGTGTACTTTACCCTGCCAGGATCTGGATGTGTACTTTACCCTGCCAGGATCTGGATGTGTATTTTACCCTGCCAGGATCTGGATGTGTACTTTACCCTGCCAGGATCTGGATGTGTACTTTACCCTGCCAGGATCTGGATGTGTACTTTACCCTGCCAGGATCTGGATGTGTATTTTACCCTGCCCGGAAATTTGGGTGTGTACTTTACCCTGCCAGGATCTGGATGTGTACTTTACCCTGCCAGGATCTGGATGTGTACTTTACCCTGCCAGGATCTGGATGTGTATTTTACCCTGCCAGGATCTGGTGTGTACTTTACCCCGCCAGGATCTGGATGTGTACTTTACCCTGCCAGGATCTGGATGTGTACTTTACCCTGCCAGGATCTGGATGTGTATTTTACCCTGCCAGGATCTGGATGTGTATTTTACCCTGCCAGTATCTGGATGTGTACTTTACCCTGCCAGGATCTGGATGTGTACTTTACCCTGCCAGGATCTGGATGTGTACTTTACCCTGCCAGGATCTAGATGTGTACTTTACCCTGCCAGGATCTGGATGTGTACTTTACCCTGCCAGGATCTGGATATGTACTTTATCCTGCCAGGATCTGGATGTGTACTCTGTCAGTATCTGGATATGTACTCTACCCTGTCAGTATCTGGATGTGTACTTTACCCTGCCAGGATCTGGATGTGTACTTTACCCTGTAAGTATCTGGATGTGTACTGTACCTGCCAGGATCTGGATGTGTACTCTGCCAGTATCTGGATGTGTACTCTACCCTGTAAGTATCTGGATGTGTACTCTGTCAGTATCTGGATATGTACTCTACCCTGCCAGTATCTGGATATGTACTCTACCCTGTCAGTATCTGGATGTGCACTCTACCCTGTCAGTATCTGGATGTGTACTCTACCCTGTCAGTATCTGGATGTGTACTCTACTCTGTCAGTAGCTGGATGTGTACTCTGCCCTGTCAGTATCTGGATGTTTACTCTGTCCTGCCAGTATCTGGATGTGTACTCTTCCCTGCCAGTATCTAGATATGTACTCTACCCTGTCAGTATCTGGATGTGTACTCTACTCTGCCAGTAGCTGGATGTGTACCCTACCCTGTCAGTATCTGGATATGTACTCTACTCGGCCAGTAGCTGGATGTGTACTCTACCCTGTCAGTATCTGGATGTGTACTCTGCCCTGCCAGTATCTGGATGTGTACTCTTCCCTGCCAGTATCTGGATATGTACTCTACTCTGCCAGTAGCTGGATGTGTACTCTACCGTGTCAGTATCTGGATGTGTTCTCTCCCCGGCCAGTATCTGGAGATGTCAAGTGTAGTTACCTAGGTATTTAAAGAAGTTACAGCTCCTGAACCCAATGTTCCTTCACAGAGCTGGTCCACATCGTCAGTGTCTCAGAGCATCGTGAATACTGTGATCATGTCCTCTCTTAGTATTTTGTATGTTGTGGTCGTGTCCCCCTCTGAGTTTTCTCTATGGTGATACGACATTCGTGTCACGAGAATGGCTGGTGGCCACCAAATGTATGTACGTTATCAACTGTGTGTGGTAGAGAATGTTAGGGCTCCATGATGGTGCTTCATGCTCGAACACTGGTGGTAGGAATGTTGTCTCTTTTCCAAAGGTCTTGGGAGGGTATACTCACACTTACCAAGGCAACAAATGCTACACATGTTATCAGAGTGATGAGCATCTCAGCCAGTTGTCTTCTCAGTTACCATGATAACACCAGTTTGTTCGTCCCTGTTCCCATGTTCACGGTCTTGTATTTTAGAAGCAACCAATAACCTCTTGAGTTTCTGTCTCGATGTGGGTTGTTACTGAGCACGGAGACGAAACTTTAGACGATGTTACGGTCACTTCTAGACCATTATCACGTGACTTGATAATGGTTTGCAACGAGACTTGTCCCAGAGTTAAGGGGCATGTCCTACGATGAGAGGTTAAGGGAAATTAACCTGACGACACTGGAAGGAGGGACGGGGGAGGGACATGATAACAACATATAAAATACTAAGAGGAATCGACAAGGTGGACAGGGACAGGATATTTCAGAGATGGGACACACCAATAAGGGGTCACAGTTGGAAGTATTTTTTCAGTCACAGAGTGGTCAAAAGGTGGTATAGTCTGGAAATGGAGGTGGTGGAGGCAGGATCCATACATAGCTTTAAGAAGAGGTATGATCAGGCTCACGGAGCAAGGAGTGATCTAGTAGCGACCAGTGAAGAGGCGGGGTCAGGACCTATGAATCGACCCCTGCAACCACAATTAGGTGAGTAAACACACACACACTATTATAAATCAAAGTGGCCTGCTGCTCACTTACATCCGCGCCACTTACTGTCACTTATTTTGAACATGTGGCAAATACTTACTCTGAGTCATCTCTGCTTCTCTTCCTCACCACCACAGCTTTGGCTTTGTTCGCCTCAAGAAGCTTGAAGGTGTCGGATCTGGTTCTCCTATGATTCCTGAGGATTTCGGCCGAGCGATTTTTCGAGGGACGATACAGAATGCCCGCACCGTCCATTTTTTCCACAGTACCGTCCAGCGGAGAATCTGGACAAGGATAGGAGCCGATATCTATGCTAGAGGACGAGTTAGATCCAGTAGGCGACGGAATGTAGAACCGAGACCGAGAATTGATCATAGATCCAGGACTGGAGAGGTTCTTGTTCTTGTGAGAGTCTTTACTCATTGACTTAGGCGAAGGACTCGACTTAGTGGAGGAAGGAGACCTAGAGGACCACTCGAAGGAGAACCTGTTGCAATCGTGGGTTTTGGTGGTGGGTGAAGGACTGTGGTGAAGCGGGAGGTTCAATGTTCTCCGCTTCTTGGACTCTGACGAAGGTGAAGGTTTGCGTGAGTGATGCGTGCTGGTCTCTGGAGAACAAGGCGGAGACATCTTGGAGGGTGAGCGTAATCCTTGGAAGTTGAAGACGCGGCTCAGCATAACCATTGCCGGACTCTTGGGACCAGACGAACCTGAGTTTCTCAAGGGAGAATTAATAGGTTCACTCTTGGCTGAATCGGGACCGTTGTCAGAACAGCGTCCAGGGCTGAGGCGAGGGGAGGAGAAGGACCGGTGAACAGGAAGCCTTAGGTTGTGGAGAGGTCCTTGAGAACCTTTGCCCTTGCGACGCTCCTGGATGCTGTTCTTCCGCAGTCTAACTTCTCCAGAGAATACGGTAGCAATTTCAGTCTCTTCCTCATACTGCTGTATCTCACCTTCTTTCTCGTTTGTCTCCTCACACTCCATATTTCCTTCTTCATTGACATTTGTATTTATATCTGGCAGAAGAGTTTCATTCGTTTCTTGATTTGCTGCTGTTTCCGTTTCCCTTTCTCTCCTATTTCTTAATTTATCTTCTCGTTCACTTATCTTATCTGTATCTTCAGCATCTAGTTTTCCATTTTGTTCTTGTATCCTACCTTCCGTTCTTCCTTCATCAGTTACGTCACTCACATCTCTGTTATTGGTTCCATTTTGAAGTATGTCTTCTGTGACACCTCCGCCTGCAGCCTGACGCTGCTGGTGGCAGTGGGGATTCTCCTGTTTCGTAAGACCACAACATCCTCTCGTCTCTGCGACATCCAGGTCGTCAATTACGGCCTCCGTCTCTGTCATCTCTCCCAGGCTGCTGTCACTAAAGATCTCAATACCTTGTGCTGGCTTTCTCTACCGAGATCAAGTCTGTTTTTTCTCTCAGATCCCAGGCTCTTGTGCTTCTTTGGCAGGAACGAGGTTCTTGTGTTTCCCCGTCTTGCAGAGGCTTTCTCGGTTTTCTCTAATAACTCTCAACTATAAGAGCAGCGCAACCTGGCTGACTCCTGATCGAGCCTCAACCAATCCCCCATAAGCGTTGATGATTATCTATTTTCTGTCTGTTTGAGAACAGAAAATGATGGTTTGTCCGTCCCTTGTCTCCAGGATTGTATCTCACACTCTCACAAATATTGCTCACAAAAACCAGTGGGTGTAAACTCCTGACAGACACCTGGCCGAGCTTACCGGACGTAGGATCGAGCCTCGATATCTCCAAGTGCTGAGCGAGACACATATGTTTCCTGCTTTATTAAATACAATTCTCATTCTAGCATAACACTGACATTTGTTACTGTTATTTTACAAGTTGTTCTCTTTTAAACATTGTTTCTGTGCATGTTGTGGACATTTAAAACTTAATAACACTCGGCACTGAGAGTGACAGAAAGTTTAATAAGAGATGTTTTTAAAGGCTGCTGCCTCACATTAACTGTACCTCACGCTCACCAACATGACATCATCTTCACTATATAGATTTTCTCCTTTTCTTTCCTCAGCAGAGCATCATTTTCAACCTTCATCTTCAGTCCTGTGGTGACTATGACACCTTCCTACAAGAAAACTTCATTTAACCGATGAATGCAATATTATAAGTAAGTTTTTTGTTTCAAAAATAAAATTACATATTTACTGAGCAGATCACTTTCATCAGCAGAACCTCATCTCTACGAGTTCACTTTCTCACATTTTCATAAGAAATTCTTCACATTCACCACTAAAACAATCATATTCACTAATACACTCATGTTTCAATAAACAAGGAAATTCAGCAGTTATAATACTTCAACCGTTAAGTATCACAAAACATAAAGACGTAAGAAAATGGACATTAAAATAATGGAGAGAGAGAGACAGAGAGAGAGAGAGACGAGCTACGAGGACTGTCTCTCCCAGACTACTGTACAGAGGATAACACCTTGCTCTCTGTTCTCCTGGATGCTCTCCCTGGCTTCCTGCCTGGTGTCCCACTGTTGTTTTCCCTAGTGTTCTGCATGGTATTCTGCCTGTTCTCCCTGGTGTTTTCCCTGGTGTCCTGCCTGGTGTTCTCCCTGGTGTCATGCCTGGTGTTCTCCCTGGTGTTTTCCCTGGTGTCCTGCCTGGTGTTCTCCCTGGTGTCATGCCTGGTGTTCTCCCTGGTGTTTTCCCTGGTGTCCTGCCTGGTGTTCTCCCTGGTGTCATGCCTGGTGTTCTTCCTGGTGTCATGCCTGGTGTCCTGCCTGGTGTTCTCCCTGGTGTCATGCCTGGTGTTCTCCCTGGTATCCTGCCTGGTGTTCTCCCTGGTGTCCTGCCTGGTGTTCTCCCTGGTGTCATGCCTGGTGTTCTCCCTGGTGTCATGCCTGGTGTTCTCCCTGGTGTCATGCCTGGTGTTCTCCCTGGTGTTTTCCCTGGTGTCCTGCCTGGTGTTCTCCCTGGTGTCATGCATGGTGTTCTTCCTGGTGTCATGCCTGGTGTCCTGCCTGGTGTTCTCCCTGGTGTCCTGCCTGGTGTTCTCCCTGGTATCCTGCCTGGTGTTCTCCCTGGTGTCCTGCCTGGTGTTCTCCCTGGTGTCATACCTGGTGTTCTCCCTGGTGTCATGCCTGGTGTTCTCCCTGGTGTCATGCCTGGTGTTCTCCCTGGTGTCATGCCTGGTGTTCTCCCTGGTGTTTTCCCTGGTGTCCTGCCTGGTGTTCTCCCTGGTGTCATGCATGGTGTTCTTCCTGGTGTCATGCCTGGTGTCCTGCCTGGTGTTCTCCCTGGTGTCCTGCCTGGTGTTCTCCCTGGTATCCTGCCTGGTGTTCTCCCTGGTGTCCTGCCTGGTGTTCTCCCTGGTGTCATACCTGGTATTCTCCCTGGTGTCATGCCTGGTGTTCTCCCTGGTGTTCTCCCGGGTGTCCTGCCTGGTGTCCTGCCTGGTGTTCTCCCTGGTGTCCTGCCTGGTGTTCTCCCTGGTGTCATGCCTGGTGTTCTCCCTGGTGTCATGCCTGGTGTTCTCCCTGGTGTTTTCCATGGTGTCCTGCCTGGTGTTCTCCCTGGTGTCATGCCTGGTGTTCTCCCTGGTGTCCTGCCTGTTCTCCCTGGTGTCCTGCCTGGTGTTCTCCCTAGTGTCATGCCTGGTGTTCTCCCTGGTGTCCTGCCTGTTCTCCCTGGTATCCTGCCTGGTGTTCTCCCTGGTGTCCTGCCTGGTGTTCTCCCTGGTGTCCTGCCTGGTGTTCTCCCTGCTGTCCTGCCTGGTGTTCTCCCTGGTGTCATGCCTGGTGTTCTCCCTGGTGTCCTGCCTGGTGTTTTCCCTGGTGTCATGCCTGGTGTTCTCCCTGGTGTCCTGCCTGGTGTCCTGCCTGGTGTTCTCCCTGGTGTCCTGCCTGGTGTTCTCCCTGGTGCCATGCTTGGTGTTCTCCCTAGTGTCATGCCTGGTGTTCTCCCTGGTGTCATGCCTGGTGTTCTCCCTGGTGTCCTGCCTGGTGTTCTCCCTGGTGTCATGCCTGGTGTTCTCCCTGGTGTCATGCCTGTTCTCCCTGGTGTCCTGCCTGGTGTTCTCCCTGGTATCATGCCTGGTGTTCTCCCTGGTGTCATGCCTGGTGTTCTCCCTGGTGTGCTGTCTGGTGTTCTCCCTGGTGTCCTGCCTGGTGTTCTCCCTGGTGTCCTGCCTGGTGTTCTCCCTGGTGTCCTGCCTGGTGTTCTCCCTGGTGTCCCGCCTGGTGTTCTCCCTAGTGTCCTGCCTGGTGTTCTCCCTGGTGTCCTGCCTGTTCTCCCTGGTGTCCTGCCTGGTGTTCTCCCTGGTGTCCTGCCTGGTGTTCTCCCTAGTGTCCTGCCTGGTATTCTCCCTGGTGTCCTGCCTGGTGTTCTCCCTGGTGTCCCGCCTGGTGTTCTCCCTAGTGTCCTGCCTGGTGTCCTGCCTGGTGTTCTCCCTGGTGTCCCGCCTGGTGTTCTCCCTAGTGTCCTGCCTGGTGTTCTCCCTGGTGTCCTGCCTGGTGTTCTCCCTGCTGTCCTGCCTGGTGTTCTCCCTGGTGTCTTGCCTGGAGTCCTGCCTGGTGTTCTCCCTGGTGTCCTGCCTGGTGTTCTCCCTGGTGTCCTGCCTGGTGTTCTCCCTGGTGTCCTGCCTGGTGTTCTCCCTAGTGTCCTGCCTGGTGTTCTCCCTAGTGTCCTGCCTGTTCTCCCTTCCTTCCTGCCTGGTGTCCCCCTGTTGTTTTCCCTAGTGTTATGCATGGTATTCTGCCTGTTCTCCCTGGTGTCATGCCTGGTGTTCTCCCTGGTGTCCTACCTGGTGTTCTCCCTGGTGTTCTGCCTGGTGTTCTCCCTAGTGTCCTGCCTGTTCTCCCTTCCTTCCTGCCTGGTGTCCCCCTGTTGTTTTCCCTAGTGTTCTGCATGGTATTCTGCCTGTTCTTCCTGGTGTCCTGCATGGTGTTCTCCCTGGTGCCCTGTCTGGTGTTCTCCCTAGTGCCCTGTCTGGTGTTCTCCCTAGTGTCCTGCCTAGTGTTCTCCCTGGTGTCCTGCCTGGTGTTCTCCCTGGTGTCCTGCCTGGTGTTCTCCCTGGTGTCCTGCCTGTTGTTCTCTCTGGTGTCCTGCCTGGTGTTCTCCCTGGTGTCCTGCCTGGTGTTCTCCCTGGTGTCATGCCTAGTGTTCTCCTTAGTGCCCTGCCTGTTCTCCCTGGTGTCCTGCCTGGTGTTCTCCCTGGTGTCATGCCTGGTGTTCTCCCTGGTGTCCTGCCTGGTGTTCTCCCTGGTGTCCTGCCTGGTGTTCTCCCTGGTGTCCTTCCTGGTGTTCCCCCAAGTGGCCTGCCTGTTCTCCCTGGTGTCGTCCCTGGAGCGCTGCCTGGTTTTCTCCCTGATGTCCTGCCTTGGGTTCTCAATAGTGTCCTCCCTGTTCTCCCTGGTGTCCTGCCTGGTGTTCTCCCTGGTGTCCTGCCTGTTCTCCCTGGTGTCATGTCTGGTGTTCTCCCTGGTTTCAAGCCTGGTGTTCTCCCTAGTGTCCTGCCTCTTCTCCATGGTATCCTCCCTGGAGCGCTGCCTTGTTTTCTCCCTGGTGTCCTGCCTGGTGTTCTCCCTGGTGTCCTGCCTGTTGTTCTCCCTGGTGTCCTGCCTGGTGTTCTCCCTGGTGTCCTGCCTGGTGTTCTCCCTGGTGTCATGCCTAGTGTTCTCCTTAGTGCCCTGCCTGTTCTCCCTGGTGTCCTGCCTGTGTCATGCCTGGTGTTCTCCTGGTGTCCTGCCTGTTGTTCTCCCTGGTGTCCTGCCTGGTGTTCTCCCTGGTGTCCTGCCTGGTGTTCTCCCTGGTGTCATGCCTAGTGTTCTCCTTAGTGCCCTGCCTGTTCTCCTGGTGTCCTGCCTGGTGTTCTCCCTGGTGTCATGCCTGGTGTTCTCCCTGGTGTCCTGCCTGGTGTTCTCCCTGGTGTCCTGCCTGGTGTTCTCCCTGGTGTCATGCCTGGTGTTCCCCCAAGTGTCCTGCCTGTTCTCCCTGGTGTCCTCCCTGGAGCGCTGCCTTGTTTTCTCCCTGGTGTCCTCTATAGTATCCTCCCTGGTGTCCTGCCTGTTCTCCCTGGTGTCCTGCCTGGTGTTCTCCCTGGTGCCCTGCCTGTTCTCCCTGGTGTCATATCTGGTGTTTTCCCTGGTGTCCTGCCTGGTGTTCTCCCTGGTGTCCTGCTTGTTCTCCCTAGTGTCCTGCTTTGTGTTCTCCCTGGTGTCCTGCCTAGTGTCCTCCCTGATGTTCTGCCTGGTATTCTCCCTGGAATCCTGCCTGCTATTCATGGTTTTCTCCTTGATGTCCTCCCTAGTGTTCTCCCCGGTGTTCCCCTTGTGTCCTTGGTGTTCTGAATATTATTCTCCCTGGTGTCATACCTGTTTCTCCCTAGTGTCCCACCTAGTGTTCTCCCTGGTGTCCTGCCAGGTGTTCTCCCTAGTGTCATGCCAGGTGTCCTTCCGAGTGTCCTGCCTGTTCTCTTTGGTATCCTCCCAAGTGTTCTCACTGGTGTCCTGCCTGTTCTCCCTAGTGTCCGGCCTGGTGTTCTCCCTAGTGCCCTGCCTGGTGTTCTCCCTAGTGCCCTGCCTGGTGTTCTCCCTGGTGTCCGCCCTAGTGTCCTGCCTGTTCTCCCTGGTGTCCTCTTGGTGCTCTCCCTGGTGTCCTGCCTGGTATTCTCCCAGCTGTTCTTTTTGGTGTCATGGCTGGAATTCTCCCTAGTGTCCTGCCTGGTGTTCTCCCTGGTGTACTGCTGGTGCGCTCCCTGGTTTTCTTTCTGGTCTCATGGCTGGTGTTCTCCCTGGTGTCATTTCTGGTATTTTCCTTGGCATCCAGCCTGGTGTCCACCCTGTGTCCTTGGCGTTCTCTCTGTTGTGCCTGGTGTTCTCTCTAGTGTCGTGCCTAGTGCTGTCCCTGGTATCCTCCCAAGTTCTTTCCCTGGTGTTCTCACTGGTATCTTGCCTGTTCTCCCTAGTGTCCTGCCTGGTGTTGTCCCAGGTATTTTCCCTGATGTTCTCCCTAGTGTCCTCCCTGGTATCCTCCCTAGTGTCTTGCCTGGTGTTCTCCCTAGTGTTCTGCCTGTTTTCCCTGGTGTTCTCAATTGTGAACTGCCTGGTATTCTCCATGGTGTTATTTCTGGTGTCATGGCCAGTCTTCTCTCTGGTGTCGCGTCTGTTCTCCCTGGTGTCCAGCCTGGTATTCTCCCTTGTGTCCTACCTGGTGTTCTCCCTGGTATCCACCCTGTTGTTCTCCCTTGTGTTTTTTAAACGTATAATCTACTCTCTTCTTTGTTCTCTCTCCATTTTCCTGTGTTCATTGTCCTGCTTAACCTGAGTCCTGGCACTCTGGGTCACGTGTCCTGGCTTGGTTACTGTTGGCTTATCATTGTTAACAACAAAGTCTTGCTTCATGCTCCCCTCACCCCAGCACGTCCATGCTCCCCTCACCCCA